GCCTAGCTCCAGCACACACCATCTATCAGACAAAGACAGGTTAGCACTAGAACAAGAGTGGAAATGCAGTAGTTTCCTGTCCAAAAGGAAAGCAAGCCAATCTTTGAAAGTGAACAAAATTAAGATTAAAAAGTTGTCAGTGCATCTCTGACCAACCATCCCTATACTGACCTAGTGTTCACTTCTAAAAACCTAAGTTTCTGGTCCTTACATATGGGGCGCCCCTGTCAGTATTTTCTATGCCTTTCCATGTGACTGGTCCTACCCTTAGATCTGCACTTGACCTCACTACGTTCCTCAAGGAGTATGGACACCAGTTGGTTGGTCAGAGGCTACAATGACAAATATCTGTGTATTCCAAATAAAGCTGTTGAGTTAACAATAGTGAAGATGTGAGTAAAAGTCTATGTGGTGCAAAACTTACCATTACATTCTGGACTTCAATGGTCTTAAAGATTCATGCTGCAGTCAATCTGTATAATGCAATGGCACACTTGTTTTACTCACCTCATGTCTTGGACACTTCTCTTTAAAGCTCACCTGCAGGGATTAACAGAAAAGATCTATTGTTATGATCATGTACACCTTCTAGCCACAGTGTCAAACAATAAATTGTGCTCAATTAAATACATTCTCAACAAAACAATCTTTTAAAAGAAAACCTATGATTCTGTGGTGTAAAACAGTTTGACTCACAGCATCTCTGGTCTGATTCAGAGTAGAGTGCCTCAAGCCACAGCGTGCTCATCTTATCAGCTACTGATCTGAATCAGGTGCTCTAGTTGATGAAATCAATTTTCTGGCTTCTTATCCGCTTGTTAAGTGTGACGTCATGCGAAGCGGCTTCCGGGTCCAAGCGCTCTATTCAACTGAATGGGGAGACTCATGAAATGGTAATAATAAACGTTTACAAAGCGATTTAATACTTTCGAAAATAACGATCGCAGTATATATGTCCATGCCTAATATCCGATGGCCAGAAAGTGATTAATTTTTTATAAATTGTAAAATTTTTGGTGTTTGTCATGCAGCAAGCCCAGAGATTGTTGTGTACACTATGATTTTATATTAAATTAACTTTAATGTGTGATAGGAATAAAACGTGATCATAAACGAATGATTTCTCCACTCAAATGAATGGCGGTTTGGATTCAGAAACAGTGTACATACGTCACAAACACGTCACCACTTAACAAGCGGATTGACCTTATTCTAAAATGTGGAAGTGCGCCTGTTTTCGCGATTGTCATAGAACTTCCGTTTCAGTCGCCTATGGAAGAAATGACTAGGAATAATAAACGGCAAAAAACGGTCAAACTACTTGCTCTACAAACAAATGTTTGCATGACTATACAGACCAAGTAGAATAATATAACAAGGAAATATCAGTTTGCAACATCAAACTACGAAACGAGCAGTTTTTAATGTCTAAAAATGAATGGAAGTGAATGAGACCATAAGTCTCAAGCCAAAAAGATTAAAATTGGTAGAAGCATGCTGCCATGATAGCTTTTCTATCCTAGTTCGCTTTTGAAAGCACTTTCAGTTGGGTTTAATATATATATATATATATATATATATATATATATATATATATATATATATATATATATATATATAGACAAGAAAGGTGTTAATAGTCACAGTACTGTATACAGCGACCTCTGGTGGACAAGAAATGACCAAGAAAACCTGCCACGGTAACGTATTTAAGATTGACAAAAACTGTACACGGCGCCCTCTACTGGATTTGTGAAAACAAAATGTATTCTGGGGTACATATTTGTTGGTTCTCAAAAATGTAGTTATAGGCATGAATTTAAAATGAGTCTGGGTTGTATATGGCCCTGTGATGACACATCATGAAAGAAAGCGTACTATTGCCAAATCCCATAAAAGCAGCAAAGTCTTCTCTCTTTGATTTTACCATTATAAAAGCTGTGTACAGAGTTTCTCTGCTTCAGTTGGTGAATTCAACTTCAGAAAGTAGAGTGAGGCCAAAAGCTGTGAGAGCGATTCGAGGCCGGTGGCACAAGCTACTGTAACCTGTGTGCCACAGCAATCTCAAGTCTCACAGAGGAGCTCTGGAAAATTAAAAGTAGAACAGACAGCAATGGAAGACGAGAGAGGGATTGGAGTTTATGTTTGGTTTCAGTTCTGTTGAGGTGGCAGCTGGTCATGGGGGGCTCTCGTTGCTCATTTTGTTTATTTTTATTATTAAAATGATTGAGAGTTCATTGTTTCTCCACTTCCTTCTTCCCGAGTATGACAAAGGCATTTAGGTCCCGTTTACACTAGTGCGTTTTCGTTTTCAAACGCATAAGTTTTGCTACGGTTACGCCATCCGTCCACACTACGCCAGAGTTCTCGAGCGCTGAAAATGGAGGGTTTTGAAAACGCTGGAGATGCCTTTTTTTATTCTAAAATGCTGCTGCTCCATCTTAGTGTGGATGAGGGAAAATGGAGACATCTGAAAACACAGGTGGGACTGCTGAGATTCGCTACCTGATTGGGACTTTTCTGTCATTGCGTATCCTTCCCTTATTCGTCAAGTCCCTATCACATGACTATAACACATGGCTTTAACACTACCGGAAGACAGTATGATAAACAACAACATGGACACAGAAATGGGAGCGTTGTTTGCACTATTGTCTGTTTTAGGCGGCATTGTGCAGTTATTCATTTGATACGTTCAGTAACAACTCAACCTCCTTGTCTGTCCACAAAAATACCTCTCTTGCTTTCTTTGCCATCGCGTTTCATGTACAACCGGCGTTTGTTGACTAACTTCTCAAATGCCGAGCAAGACGCATGCTTCCTGTTTATACTAGAATGCGCATGCCCAGAGTGCGCGAATGGTCACATGATATACGTTTTTGGTGGCGTAGTATGGACAGAGATATGTTCAGAAACGCTAGGTGAAGCGCTAGTGTGGACGCGGATCGTTTTTGATCTAAAACGCCGTTTTAAAACTAAAACGCACTAGTGTAAACGGGGCCTGAATACATTACTGTGGTGCCTAAATCCAGAAGAAGGGGGAGGGACAAATTGTCCAGATGCCCTCACTGCTGAGAGTGAGAAAGCGTATGATTAGAGTTAACCTGAGGGGGGGGGGGAGATTTGATGGACAGACAAGATTTGCTGGATGAATGTGGGTGCGGTCAGAAAGGTCTTCATGTAGTGCGGCTTGCAGGAGAATACAATTATTTGTTGGATTCCCGCAAAATGAAAACATCTTCAAAATAATATATCGAAAACAAATACTTTTTAATTTATCTTCTGCACATGAGCAAATGACTAAAATCAAATAAACACATGACAGGCAATTTTTTGTGTTTTTTTTTTTTTTTTTTTGTGAAATGTGGATTATTGGCCAACTTTTATTTATTAAAAAATAAAGATAACTTATGTTCAATGATGGACATTGCTGAAAGCACACGTTCTGAAGCAGAGTTAGGCCAAATGATGATGATGAGAAAAAATTAAACATGCGAGACCCAAGCCAATAGATGACAAGCTGGACAACATTATCTGAAAAGGCACAACAGGTGCCCGACTCACACCTGCAGTTTTTCTTGATGGATGTCCAAGGTTTTTCTTACACTGCAGCTCTGCACAAGAGGTTTGGCCAGTGAAGAAATGGCTGGCCCCAACTGAGCCTGGTTTCTCTCTAGGTTTTTTAATCCTTTACTTTGGTCAATTGGTGAATTTGTTTCTTCTTCGCTGTGGCCACTGGCTTGATTGGTTTGGGACTTGTAGAGCTGCTCATCGATGGATTACACTTCAGTATTTGGACTCTCAGTAGTGAATATTAAACCACACTGAACTGAACTAAACTTATCTTCATCACTGAAAACTGGACTGACACTGGTTCAATTTACTATGATCTTCTATGTTAGGCTGCTTTGACACAATCAACATTGTAAAAGCACTATAGAAATATAGAGCATGCATTGAATTCAATTGAAGAACAGCTAATGCTAATGTCAGCAGGAGATCTAAGGTCATTTTTAAATGACCTTAAAGCAAGCTCAGTTGGGCACAACCATTTCTTCTATGGCCATTCGTCTTGTGCAGAGTTGCAGTCTAGGCACTGGAGGTTTAAGCACATATTGTGAGACTTACCAATGCCCTATCAGAGCATTCGTTCAATCTCCACTCAAATTGCAACTTTCTTTAGAGTTACATTACCTTACATAATCGATGTGCAGTATATGTATATGTCAGTTGTTTACAGCAAGCGAATGTGGCCACTCAACAACCACTGAGTTTTAAACATCCATTTACAGTCAAACAAAGCACGCAATGGATTTGAAACTAAGATGGGTAGATTCATGAGGGTTTTTTAAATGTGTCTCTTCAGTTTTCCACAATTTTGTGTCTGCAAACCTTGTGTAACCAAAGCTAAGCTGAAGATACAACAATTAGCTTAATGTATGTTTGGCCTCATAATGACCATGATTGTTTCACATAAGTCTACATGATTTCTTTTTTAGATCTTCAAGCTCTCTCTTCAGTTCTTTCACTTCTTCACTTTTCTCATCTTTAATGTGTTGGTAAAGTTTCTCCAATAATTCCAGCTGTTTCTGATGTTCTTCCAGCTTCTGCTGAAGCTCCTGAATGAGCTGCTCTTTTCTCTCTCTGAAGTTATTCAGTTCTTCTGCTTGTTTTCTGGCTTCTTCTTCATGTTTCTTCTTTATCTGTTTTATTTCCTCTTCATGTTTCTTTTTCATTTTATCTCTTTCTTCCTCTTCTCTCTTTTGTTTTTCTTTCTCTTCTGTTTCTCTTCTCCTGATCTCCTCTTCTTGCTCTCGTTTCAGATCTTCAATCATTTTATTCCATTTTGTTCTCTCTTCTTCTCGTCTCTCTTCATCTTTTTGTTTTCTTCTCTCCCACTCCTCTTTTCTCTCTCTCTCCAGCTCCTCATAATGTCTCTTTGTCTCCTGTCTCTTTTCCTCATATTCTCTCTCCTTTTCTTCTCTTTCTCTTCTCTGTTTCAGTCTCTCCTCCTCCATCTTCTGTCGTTCTTCTTCTCTTTCTCCTTCAAATATCTTTCTCATTTTCTCCAGTTCTTCTTGTTTTTCTCTCAGTTGTTCTTCGTGTTTCTCTTTTCTCTTTATTTCTTCTTCCTCTCGTTCTCTCATCTGTCGTTTCTTCTCATCCTCCCATTCTCTCTGCTGTCGTTTAATTTCCTCTTGAATCTCCTCTCTGTCGTTTTCAGCCTCTTTTATTTTCCTTTCCCATCTCTCTCTCTCCTTCTCTTCTTCTTCTTTCCTCCTCTTCTCCTCTAAATCTCTCAGTTTTGTTTCTTCTTCATGTTTCGTCTTTAATTCTGCTATAATTTGCTCTTGTTCGTTTCTCATCTTGTCTTGGTCTTGTCTGTATTTCTCTTCTCTCTTTCTGTCTTCATCTTCTCTTTCTCTCTGCTGTTGTTCATACTGTGATCTCTGATTGTCCATCTCTCTCTTCATCTCCTCAATTTCTCGATCATATGCTTCTTTTTTCTGTTTTTCCTCTTCTAATAGTTTCTGTTTCTCCATCTCTTGTTTCTGTCGTTCTGCTTCTTGTTTTTCTTCAAACTCCTTTTTGAGTTTTTCCTCTCTTTTTCTAAACTCATTCTCTCTCTGTTGTTTTTCCTCATCTGCTTTTCTTTTCTCTTCTTCAAGTCTTTCCTTTAGTGTGTTCATCTCCATCTCATATTTGTCTTGTAACTCTTCTTTCTGTTTCTGAATCTCTCTTTCTCTCTCTTTCATGATTTCCTCCATCTTCTTCTTAATGGACATCTCTGCCTCCTCAAACATGTCATTAGTGAAGTATCCACTCTGATTATTAGTTTTCAACTCTTCAATCATCTTTAACAGCTTCATCACTTGAGTTTTGTCTTGTTTTTCTCTGTTATTGAAAGCCAGGAATCTGTTTCCACAATCTCTGATCAGTTTCTGGAGTTCTGCAGATTTGCTTCTTTTTAGATAATCTTCTATAGATTCATCTTCAAGTTCGTCTGCTCTGGTGAACAGAACGATGCTGAACTGAGCAGATTTTGGACCAAATATCTGCTTGATCAGGTCTACAGTGTCTGATTCTACCTGTATAAATCTTCCCAAACTCACCACAATGACAAACACATGAGGTCCAGGAGCTGACAGTGAAACACACTTCACTATTTCTTCCACCACTTGATCATTTGTTAGTGTCGTGTCAAAGAGTCCTGGAGTATCAACAACAGCTACGGATTGACCGTCAACTTCTCCAGTTTTCTTCTCACAAACAGTCGTCACTGAATCTGTGTTTAATTGGCTGAGAAACTCCTTTCTTCCCAGAATAGTGTTTCCTGTTGCGCTCTTTCCACTTCCTGTTCTCCCAATCAGCACAATCCTCAGACATTCAAGGTTTTCTGAACAATCAGGATCTGAAAATCATATTTAAAAAATAACGTTTATTTTTTTCCTCAAGTCTCATTACAAATATGTTAAGCAATGTGACTTATCTATGTGAATTTAAAGGGGTCATGAAAGCAAACCAAAGCATCAAATAAGACAAATAGCATCTGTAAGTTTTAATTGTAAAATATAAGTGGCCAATTTTGAGCTGTTCCCCTTTTAAAATCTATATGAGGGCTGTGTCACTGCACAGGAGTTCTAAGATGAGGCATCAGTGACTAATTATTATTCATGAGACTGAGTTTTTTTTTTTAGATCATTTGGATCCACATTTCTTTGCCAAACAAATCAGAAGACCACACAAATGATTCAGCAGTATTGTTTCAGTTTTTTAGGTTTTTGGAAGGGAAGAGTTCCCTTAAACATTTCTTGGGGGGGAGGCAGAAGGGCACAATACATTTAGTGGAGCTTGCACTGCAGTATAAAACATTGCTGGACCTCACCTGTAATCGAAACACATTGGGTTTGTCCCCTCAGATTGGCTAGCTCAGCAGCTGCCCTTGTTTACACACAGGGTAATAATCATGCTGGTGCTTTCTCACACACAGTCTGGTTGGCTTCAGCTTTCGATATATCCAGTAGTTGGGAGATGGAGGAACAGTGCTGCTAGTGGGGGAAAGTGTTGGCATTCGATCTTCCCTGGAAGCCCACCACTCTGCCACACCGACCTTACCGGCATCACTCTTGTTCATCCAATGGCACTCCTCTGTAGAGACATTGCTCAATGAAGGTACAACTTCAAGGTAATTTTTTAATATCAGGTTTTAATCCAGATACTTTTGCTGGAACATAGACTGGGAAACTTTGAAAAGTTCAAAAATAAAATAAGAAAAAAAAAAAAGTTAATAAATAAAATAAAAAAAGTTTAATAATAAAAGTTCAAGGATGTTTCTTCATCACAGCCTGCAACTTGTTGGTACATTCTGCCATTGCTTCCTTATACAGTCCTGAACAAGTGTGCTCCCCTTATTATTAAATGCCTTCAGTTGCTCACTGGGGCGAGGCAGTGGCGCAGTAGGTAGTGCTGTCACCTCACAGCAAGAAGGTCGCTGGGTTGCTGGTTCGAACCTCGGCTCAGTTGGCGTTTCTGTGTGGAGTTTGCATGTTCTCCCTGCCTTTGCGTGGGTTTGCTCTGGTTTCCCTCACAGTCCAAAGACATGTGGTACAGGTGAATTGGGTAGGCTAAATTTTAGGCCGACAGAGTTGCTCACTGGTGTTGGGATTCCAATCCTCAACCTCTCCACTGCACCCATATTCAAAAACATACTTAGGACCTCAAGCTGGCTGAAGATAGTGGCTGCCGTGGGTCTAGAGGTTTCTTCCAGCTTAGTAAGTGCGGCTAATACATCAGAGCTGTGCTCAACGATGAAGTTAGCCTGGACTTTCCATTTTCTTCTAACATTGCTTTGAGATCTCACACAGCTTTGTAGGTCAGTGGCAGTGTTAAAATGAAGCCTTGCAGTACATCAATATTTTCTCCCAGATATTGCACTGCTTTTATTTATGATCCCCATCTTGCCTGGACAGTAAACACAGGCATGAGAGGAGAAAAACCCTGCTCCATCATAAAGGCCCCCAATCCAAGATGGCACTGGGATGACTGGCAGAAGACACATTTCACTAAAGCACACTTGGGTCTAGAAAAGTGAATTATGTATAGGAAAATATTTAAGACTTTAAAACATAAAAACAGTTTAAATGTGGACTATGGCTATGCAAATGCCGGTCACACTATGTATGACACCTTCCAGTGACCACCTCACAGCATCATTTAATCACAATGCTGGATTTGCAAGGTGCTATCTTTTCAATCTCATCTTCCAGGGTAAGGATCCAATATTACCTTAAAGAAATTGAATGTGGTGGTGATACACAAGATGGTGCACACTTTGTGAGGTTTTCAATGCAAGTGTTACACGACTATGTCTTACAAGATGAAACAAAAGATTTTTAGGCATGTCTCCGGCTATTCGAATTGCTCATAGACTTCATAACTTTGCTGCTTGTTCCAGCAAGGGTTTTCATGGTGATTGGATTCACAGTGCTTTTTCCAAGGCGTCTGATACCATCGCTTCAAAAATACCACCTCCAGAACCTCTACCTTCAAGGGCATCACCTGCAGAAATCTCCAGCTATGCATGTTCCAGAATCTCCAGATGTCTTTAGGGTCTCCTCAGATCCACACTCTAGGCCTGACACAGCTCTATGCTCCAGGGTCTCCTCAGATCCATGCTGGAGGTCCACATCAGCTTCACGCTCCAGGCCCACTTCATGTCCATGCTTCGGGCTCTCTTCATTTCCACCCTTCTGCAACTCCAAACTCCAAACCCATCTTAGCTCCACATTTCAGGCCACCTCAGCTTCATACTTCAGGGCCTTCACAGCTTCACACTTCATGGCCTCCACAGCTCCACATTTCAGGACAACTCCGCTCCATGCTCCAGGGTCTCCTCAGCGGCACACTTCAAGGCCTTCACAGCTCCACGACCCATGGCCCCCTCAGCTATATGCTCCAGGCCTGCCTCATTTCTATACATCAGGCCTATTTCAGTTCTATGCTCCAGGCCCACCTCATTTCCACACTCCAGGCTTGCCTCAATTCCACGCTTCAGGGTCTCCTCAGCTCCACACTCCAGGCCTGATACAGCTCAATGCACTAGAGTCTCCTCGGATCCATGCTGGAGGCCCACATCAGATTCACGCTCCAGGCCCTCCTCATGTCCATGCTTCTGGCTGTCTCTTTCCAGGCTCCAGGGCCTCTGCAGATCGAAACTCCAGGCCCATCTTAGCTCCACATTTCCGGCCACCTCAGCTTCATACTCCAGGGCCTTCACAGCTTCACACTTCATGGCCTACCCAGCTCCACATTCCAGGCCAACTCAACTGCATGCTTCAGGGTCTCCTCAGCTTCACACTTCAAGGACTTCACAGCTCCACAATCCAGGGCCCCCTCAGATCTACACTCTAGGCCTGTCTCATTTCTTTACTTCAGGCCTCCCTCGTTTGTACACTCCAGGCCTGCCTCAATTCCACCAATCAGGGTCTCCTAAGCTCCATACTCCAGGCCTGACACAGCTCCATGCTTCAGGGTCTCCTCAGCTCCATGCTAGAGGCCCACATCATCTCCATGCTCCAGACCCAGTTCAGCTCCAAGCTACAGGGTCTCTTCAGCTTCAAGCTCCATGTCCTCCGCAGGTCCATAATACAGGCCCTCTTCAGCTCCACATTTCACACCACCTCAGCTCCATGCTCCAGGGTCTTCTTAGCTACATGCCTGTCTCTGCTCCAGACTCCATGTACACCTATACAGCTCCATCATACAGAGCTTCACAGCTTTACGCCCCAGGCTCCCTTTAGCTAAACGCTCTAGGTCAGCCTCGGCTTCACACCCTGGGGCTGCGTCAGTTCCACGCTCCAGGGACCCCCTCAGTTTCAAGCCTGCCACAGCTCATTTCCATGCCCCAGGTCTCCTTCAGTTCCAAGCATAAGGGCCTCCTATGCCCTACACCACAGGACTGCCTTCCATGACTGGACCTGGCCCTCTGCTCCTCCCATTTGTCTGCTGCTGCTCCACCACCCTCCTGAACTTTGTGGCTATTTATGTTTGGTTTGATAATTATCGTGAAAAGCATTAAACAAATACAAAATCGAAAACTAACAAATCCAAACTAAATATGCACCAACATGTACTGTAGTGATTGTTGTTTTTAGTTCAGATTTGTTCCTAGTTTTGCACCCATCTTATCATAAGTATTTTTCTGTTTATTGTTTTCACCCTGGCGACGCAGTGGTGCAGTAGGTAGTGCTGTCGCCTCAGTTGGCGTTTCTGTGTGGAGTTTGCATGTTCTCCCTGCGTTCGTGTGGGTTTCCTCCGGGTGCTCCGGTTTCCCCCACAGTCCAAAGACATGCGGTACAGGTGAATTGGGTAGGCTAAATTGTCCATAGAGTATGAGTGTGAATGAGTGTGTGTGGATGTTTCCAGAGATGGGTTGCGACTGAAAGGGCATCCGTTGTGTAAAACGTGCTAAATAAGTTGGCAGTTCATTCCGCTGTGGCGACCCCGGATTAATAAAAGAGCTAAGCCGAAAAGAAAATGAATGAATGAATGAATGAATGTCTTCACCCTGGGTCACCTGTTACCCCTTTGTTTATGTTAATTTAAGCTCTTTTGTTTCATTTTTGTTTGTTGCTCTTTGTTTGTTTATTTCTGTTTAATAAATCATTTTGTTTGGATCCACATCTTGTATGTTAATATAGTCATAATGTGTAAAGTTACATATATCGAGAAGTGTTCCTCAAAGTATGGTAAAAAAAGTGCAATTGTGTAAAAGCTATTCAACACTCAATGCAGAAGTGTAAAATGGCCTTTAGATAATCGCGTACCTGCTGTTGATTGAGTGAATCTCTTCAGTTCCTCTATTTCAGCCTTGTATTTGTTTCTCTCCAGCTCTAACTGAGCCTGAAGGACCATGAAAGAGGTGTAGAAACTCCCTCTATTCTCTTGCATCATGTTCTCCAAATACTGCAGCAGATCAGGAATCTGTGAGCTGTTCCCCAAAACAAACCATCGAGCTCCAAATGCTTGAATAAAGTTATCAATGTGCGTAATGTGACTTCTACTAATAAGTTTACTCAGAATGCTCTTCTCTTGCACTATAAGGACTATGACATATTTGTTGATACTGGAGCTGAAAATCTTCTGGATCTCCTCCATTTCTGCTTTATCTTCATGAGTCAGTGGAGCGTCAGGAATAATGAGAAGGAAAGCGTGAACTCCAGGATCACAGACAGCCACGCAGTGGAATGTCTGATGCATCACTTCCTCCTCTGAAAGTTGACTGAGAGCTGGAAGCTCCAGCACATTGATCAGATGACCATGATAATCTACATCTGTCCTCACACACTCTTCCTGATGTAAGGGAGGAAGAAATGTCTTTTTCCCTCTTATAAGTTTTGATACGGAGGCCTTCAGTCTTCCGTCACTCCCACACAGCATCAAGTTCAGCTTCTGCTTTTTGATGACTTGTAGACTTCCTGAATAACAACGAGAATACAATAGGTTATCACTAGATTTTCACATTTTCAGATGTATTTTTTATTCACTTATGACATTGATTTGATGTGTTACATAAATGCATACATTACCCTTAGCTTGATCATGCTCTGTTCTTGATTCTGGATTACTGACTGTAAAGTGAATACATGAATATTTAATAATCAGTCTCAAATATGGGATGCAACCTTTACTTCTTTTTTTCTTCAGTAAATTTGGTTCAGTGGTGAATCTCCAGCAGGTGCTTTCAGATGAAGTAGGCTAACATTTACTACTGTAGTTCACTGACAAACTGCATGATATCATGCTCAAGATAGCAGAGGATTTGTTCAGCCAATAATAAATGATAATGGCAGCTGTTTGTGTAGCTTCTTGCTGAACTATAGTTCAGTGTGGTAAAGACTACAACATCTGAAAGCATGTAAAAATACCACATTGAACGACTTTTCCAAACTCGCGTTTCAATTGAGTGTTTGAAATAAGTCCTTCTATGAGATGATTAAGTAGTTAAATCTTCTGTTTATTCAGCAGCTTTCAGGATTTCACGAGTTTCTTATTCGTTGGTGTTTGGAGTTTGAGTAAGAGTGCCCTCTGGCTTTTGGAGGAGATTCACAGCTGATCACAGGACTGTACTTTCTTGACAAGATGTGCACGACAATCACAGCTTTGTTTAACTGCAATTGAGATATCACTTTATCATATCATGCTAAAAATCTGGCGTTGTGTATTATGACTATTCTACTTTTTTTGTAAGTTGCATTTGAATAAAGTCATCTGCTAAATACATAAATCTAAAATACATTTTCCAAAGACAATAACTTTTATTTTTAAGGGTGATCAGAGTTGGGGGTAATGCATTAAAAAGTAAGTTATGCAATCTGATATACTTAATCTAAAATACTGTTGAATTTCCTAGAAAATATCAGCATTCCATTTTCCATTTATTGACCGACATACGTTTAAGAGGTGAGAGATGTGTTGTGTATGATGTGTGGAAACACGAGGCTTACTGAGCACCAGAGCTGCAGAGTGCATTGCCAACTTGCTTACATGTTTGCCGCAATTAAAGTTCAAATCTCAATAGCTCAATATTCTGAGTTGTGGATATTCTGCTCATACTTTTCTGTGCATGAACCACATATGCTCACTGGAAAAGCAAAGTTCACTCAAATACCATGCCAACAGGGCACTTCAATGGAGACTTCAACTTTCCAAAAACCCAGATGATGATTATACATTGATAAAAAGAAGCTATTACATTATAATTCAAACACAATGCAGTATGTTTTGCCTACCCAGCCTACTACTTACAAAGTGATATTGCGGGTATGTTGCGAAGAAAACCTTTTGCTTCTTTCTTCTCAGAATGAGTTTCAAGAGCTTTTCCAGCATGCTCTTCATCAGGATCTTCCTCTCCTGTTCCAGGTGAATAAATCGAGGTGTCCGGTTCATCCACAGATGTTCCTTCTGCAACATCAAAGGAATGACACGGCAGAAACTCTTCACTGTCTTTTCTGAGGATCTTCTCTATCTGCTGTAATATTGAAGTGCGCCACTCCTCAATGGTTTTATCAAGCTGTAGATGTCTAGCAGAAAACTGCTGGATCATTTCATTCACCTTTTCATCAGTCGTGATCCTGATGACTCGTCCTATTGCCTTTTCGTTGAACTGTCTGAGCACATTTCTGACTCTTCTGTCCTCCTCTGTGACATCTTCATGCGGCAGTACGATGATAAAGACATGAGGTCCTGGATCAGACAGACTCACGCACTCTCTGACCGTCTGTGTGATCTGATCATCTGAGATGTTTGTGTGGAGCAGCTGAGGACTGTTGATGAGCGTCACGTGTCTGTCTATCAGTCTTCCTCTTACTCTCTCCACAACACCTGGAGGAGCTTCACTGTCAAATGCTGATCGACCCAAGATCAAGTTTCCCACATGGCTGTTTTCAGACACACTTTTACCCAGGAGAACAATCCTCAGAGGAAGAGCATCTGAAACACACAGATCATGTGCAATTTTAAAGTGTCTTAATGTTGTGTTGGACAGATGATAATGATTATAATATTGTTGGTTTGAATCAATTTAGTGCCTGAGGTCTTTAAAAACCATAGCAGAACCATAGCACCATTAAACCAATAACCTATGGGAGCGCTAAACCTGATGATGCAATCAGTGCAACAGCATTGCTGAAACATTGAATGTTTTATTCTGGTTTTACTGCCACTTCTTAACAACTCACATTATATTCTATCGAAAGTGTTAAAATTTCCTTTGTGTGCTCACTAGTAACCAGAAGGGCTTTGAACTGGGCTTCCACCATTTACAAATATGGCTCACTAAACTTTCGTACTTTTAAGTTTCTGAAAATAGAGTTGTTCTAACATCCTGAGGAAGGAAGGGGTGCTTAGAGGAAATACTTTTATTACATCAAGGCACTCGTTCAGCAGCAAATTATGCCTTACACTTCTAGAACCTCGCAGGTCAGACTGGCTTGCTGAATGATAAACTGTAATTGTTGTTTCGACAAGATTTAAAACTGAGCTACAATCTAAATTGGCATGCAGAGAGGATGGAAGGTTTCTTGATCACTTTACTGAAATATTCATCTGATAATCTCATTCAATCACAATGCCTACACAGAATCAACCAGTCTTTCACTGTCAATTACACTGTACCCTCTGAATCTGAGCCCAAGCAACTTGGTCATACCCGTCTCTAACCAGAGGCATGACAACTCCGCTATTCTCAACATCAATGGATACACTGTGTGTCAGTCTGGTTATGTCAAGATGATAGCCCTCAAATAAAGATCCCTCAGTGACTTCTGCTCCAAATCAATCATCTAATAATCAATGTTTGGAAATTTCTGTGACTATATAATTCCGAGGCCATGAAATTCAATTTGACAGCCATGATCAATTCAGCTGCTGCTAAAAACTTTATAAATAAGAATTTTCCAGTTATCCTGGGCTTACCATGGCTGCAACAGCATGATCCACTCTTATCATGGAGCAGTGGAGCGAACCATGTATCTAACACTGTTTAATGTCCATATCTCTCATACAACTCAATGTAGTCAACATGCCAGAAAATACTCCTCACCACCCTGAACTTCCCCTTAATTAATGTACTTGGCAGAAGCATTCAACAAAAAAAAACTCACCCAACTTCCACCTTATTGTGAGTCAAATACCTTTACGACTTACCACTAGTTCCAGCCGCCCTTGAACAACTCACATTTTTCCCTAAAGTAGATCTACGCAGTCCAAATAATCTGACAAGGATCAAAGAAGTGGATGTAAGTTTTTTCCACCTGCACTGGCCACTATGAATACGGTTGATGCTTTTCAGACTGGCAACTGTCCATCTGTGTTTCAGGTTTTCATCAACAATGTCTTTCATGACACGCTTAACTGTTGGGTAATTGTGTACATTGACGATATCCTAGTTTATTCAGAATCTTATGAAGACCATGTTAACCACATCCCAGCAGTCTTCCAGAGATTAATTGATCTAAGATTATATGCCAAGGTAGAAAAATGTGAATTTCTGCAAATTTCTGTATCGTTCCTGGGATTGGAACAGAGGGTGTAGCCATGAATGAACCTAAGGCAAATGCAGTATTGAATATGCCACAACCTGTTACATTAAAGGAACAGCAATGATTTCTAGGATTCACAAACTTCTATGTCAAATTCATCAGAAACTTCAGCACCATAGCAGCTTCTCTCACTTCCATGACAAAGAAGGGCAGTAAACTCCTTAAATGCTCTGAAGTAGCTATACAGGCATTTCAAGGTCTAAGCAGCATTTCTCCCCGGCCCCCATTCTGTGTCATCCAGATCCCAACAAACCTTTCACTGTAGAAATTGATGCCTCTAATTCGGGCATTGGTGCTATACTCTTATAACAACAGCGTAAACCAGTTAAAGTCAGCTGAGAGAAACTACAATGTGGGTAACTGAGATCTCCTCACCATGAAAGTAGCGCTAGAGAAGTGGAGACACCAACTACCCTCCCAAAAAGACTTTTGTTCCGTCAACACTCAGAGAAAGGGACTTCAATCTGTTTACTCATCAACCAGTTCCAGACACCCAGGTATCGCAGCTACTATCCACTTATTACAAAGCTGCTTTTGATAGACATTAATGCAAAATGACAATGCAAACTTCATGCAGAAATGCACCCGTAACCCTGTCAGTCCTTTGCCACCCAACCTGTTCCAAGCTGGGATCAAACCAGCGACCTTTCGCTTGGGAGTCGGTTGCTCTACCAAGGAGGCTAAAGACTATGGCCTCTAGCATCTGTCACCAGAGCACCTTTTCAGCAATAAAACTGATTATGATTTTTGAGGTCAGAGGAGTGAGGTTTACCTGCACAGCACTTCACTAGCTGGCCTCGGCTACACATCCAAGGCATCATCACCATTGCAATGGTAATAGACATATTTTCTAAATCATGCCGCCTCATTCCACTCTCAAACTAGCATCTGAACATATGTGCTATCTGATATTTCACTGGTATTTGACCAGCAAAGGTCACAGTCACCAGAGTTTTGAACTTTCATGAAGTACATATCCCAAATCCCCGTGCCTAGTGCTAATTAGGGTGCACCTGATGGCAATCCCATGTTTATGTCAAATGTTTTTTGACTATGCCTGCATGCTTTTGACCCTAGCCTGTATAATAGTCTGTGCGCAAAGATTTCTGCAGATTTTTAGCCCATCATTGATTCTATTTATTTACTTGTTTGAATGTAAGTAAATTTATATTTATTCAGTTTTTAAATTAATTTCAGTAATATTATTGAATAATGACTAATGAAAATGTTCATATAATTTATTTACAGTACAGTTTGTAAAGTAACATTTTCTGTCTTTTAGTAGATATTTTATATAGAAGACTTGATTTGTTTACCAAATAAAGTGGATCTAATTGGATTTGCATTATAAACATTAAATACAAGTTAAAAAGGTATTACTTTTTAGTTCATATATTAAGATTTTAGTTATGATACTCACAAAATCTTTTCGCATAAATCTGCAGATTTTAAACAAAACCCTGCGCCGAAATAGCAAAAAATTCCTGCAGATTCCGTCTGGCCCTGGTTATACCATGAAAAATCTGATTAAAATCAGAATTAAAAATCAGATTAAAATTCACAGAAGTTATCCTGGTAAATTAAAGTATAAAAAATGCCTCAGGTATCCTGTATAGTTTCAGTATCTTTGTGTTTCTTTTTTTGCTGGGGAAAGTAATTAGTGATGTTTTTTATTCCACTGCACTGACTGAAATCGCTATACACTCACTCTTTGATTAGATAAATTTATACCACCTTCCGGACATGGTCAGAGCTGGGAATTTCTGCAGAGAAATGCACCACATCCGACTTCAATGCAATGTTCAAGTGGCATTGAAGACATTACTTCCAAGTACAAAAGAAGAAAAATTGCATTTCCAAGCTGTCTGGAAAGCAGCATGAATTACACAAGCTGGATTCACTGGTCAGGCGAGCTAGAAACATAGCACAACTGCTGGTTACAAGGCAAAAAGACATAGCATTGTCTACATTAGACTGCAACACACACAAAAACTGCAACTGTACAGTGAATTTAGGGACCAAAAGGAATAAATTAAAATACCCTCTTAAACTACCCCTGTAAATGGTGAAAATTACTTACATTTCCCTAATAAAACAGACTGATTTCACGCAGTCGACATTAAAGTGAAATCGAGGCTGTGGTGGAAGAAACCCAGAAACATCGCCTGAGTCACACAAGAACATTGTACCTGGCTGTATATCTTATCAACAATGAGAAATTGGCACAAATTTATCAGTTCACTGCCTTCCGAGTGACCCGAAGGTTTGTTCTGAATGAATGGTGAAAATATAAAGGGATATCAGAGCTCATTTTCACCTAAGTTAAGGGAATGGCACTAGTTAGCTAACGTTTTCTTTCCCAAACACAAGGTTTTAATGAACTGATTCTTTCACAATATTAGACCTGTCACGATACTGAATTTTGGTTCTGAAATTTATAAACCATCAATTCCCCACTAACATTTAAGCACTGATGAACACAACACAGCTGATTTGCCATAGTGTTCACCAGTGCTCAACAGAAAAAAACTGTGATTGGCCGTGGAGTCTATGGCATCAGTTCACTGCACTTCACCGCTGTCTACAGAGTGCACAGACGAGAAACATGCTGATGACTTGACTGATCTTCTCGGCTTTAAAACACTACAGTGTTCTTGTATCTGTGTTTGCACTCGGTGAACTGATGACCTTCACAGCCAATCACAGTCATTTCTGTTGAGCACTGATGAATACTATGGCAAATCAGCGCTGTTTAAGAACGTGCTCAGGGGCACTTAAATGTTAATGAGCAATGGCTGTATTTAAAATGTCAGTACCGGGACAACACTATTACAGACAACACGAGGGTGTGCTACAGAGCACTGCATCTCTTTATCGCTCACCGGGTTACAAAGGCTGAAGCAAGCAGGGAAGCCCCCACTGTGTTTAAACGGTGCCATGAACTGAAGCCTAGAAGGACACTTAAGCGTATCACTCTTCAAAAGATTATGATTTAGTTTGATGCTTAATATGCCTTTAATAGTTTAAATTAAACTGAACTGAATGATATGAAAGTGATGTTTACACCATTTCTGCACTTTGAAATCTCTGCAACAGCTGGAGGTTTGTAGTCCACAGCATGTTAAAGCAATGTTCACAGTGCTGATCCTACACTTCCAGGTTTCTTCATACCACAGCCTTGCTTTTGTGTTTAAAAATGGCGGCTGCATGAAACAAATTTCTATATCAGCATTATTCTTGATCATAAACATCAAAACTTTACCCTATTTAAGAGTTTTAACCATTTACTTTTTGTTTATATATGCCACTAATAAGTAGACTTATAAAAGTAAAAATGGGGGATATATTAAAAATTCCAGAAAAGCTGCTTGCATTATCTATAGCCGTAAGGCATAACTGGCTTTATGCAAAATCCCAGTTGATAAAACACAAAGGGTCACCACTTGTTGTTTTGTAATTTAAAGTCATAATCTGTCCATAATTTCCACACATTGGCATTTTCTTCCTTTTTTAAACATACAAAGACTTACAACTAGGAGGTATATCAATGCTCCTTTTCCTTCTGGGAGTGCCCTGGTATTCAGCAATCACTGAAACAAAAAAAAAACATATATACTTTCATACCCATTGTGTGTGTGTGTGTGTGTGTGTGTGTGTGTGTGTGTGTGTGTGTGTGTGTGTGTGTGTGTGTGTATTGATATAGATATAAAGATAGATAGATAGATAGATAGATAGATAGATAGATAGATAGATAGATAGATAGAGGGGGGGGAGCTACACACACAATCAATCATAATATATAGACCATCTTTTTCATGTTGTTTAATAATGCCCTTTTAGCCGCTTGCATTGCAACTATACTGGATTTGAAAAAAGGACAAATCTTGATATGAACAATACTAAAGCAACTATAGTAGATACTGTAGTGTTCTTGAACCCTAGAATGTATCTGTTGAGGTGATTCTATGATAAAACAACAACTAAAGTAATATTTACAACTGATCAAATTCTAGTCTTCTATAATTTAGGATATAGTTTAAACAGTTAACTGTAGTAACAACTAAAGTATTCTACAACACTTTTTAGAGCTGATCAGTTAATATGCTGGATCCCTCATTTACAAAGAGAAAATGGAAATACATAAACTTTACTACAAAGTAAGTCTAATATTTAAGTTTAATATTCATAGAAAATTCAGTTTCAAACCAATTAACTGTGCCTACAGAATATTATATAACACACAATGATTCTTATTCATGTTTTTATTGTTCTTATATATGGTACTGAATCTATATTTACTGTAAGAACGTAATTTAAATCTGTCACAAAATGAGATAAAATGATCAGATTAACTGCAAAATATTCAGAATATTATTATTAATATTCCTGTAATATTATATATATATATAGGTATATATACAACAACAGACCAGTAGAGTAAGAGCTAAGTGAGTTATAAATGCCAAAACACCGTCTTATAATGAATACTGAATGTATACAGTGAATTTGGGGTAATTGTGCGGTTTTACTTTCAAAAATGTGGTATAATCCGTCAACTACGTTTACTATTTGGTGTTTTGAATCATGTTGAACACATTTAAGTGCTGCCTGGTAATCAGATCACGTATCTATGCTCGTTACTGCTGCTAATAACGGGAAATTATCCATTAATGTTTTTCGATAAACTCCTCGGAGTTTAACAGAAGCGCTGCGTAACGCGCGTGCACGCGTTGGGGAGTCAGATTTCTGTACAGCAAGGGCAGCAAAACAGCACAATAAACCGACAAGAAACAGCTTTACAGTTTAAAATTAATCCGTCTTCAGTAAGATTTGACTCTTTTGGTAATATTCAGCGTGTTAGTACACATATTGATCGGTTAGTTAAAGTCAAAACTTACGCGAACTCTCTGCCATTATAACTCCGTCTGAAATAAGTGAAAGTCTATGGCAAGCCGATTTAGCTTAAACTGATACCATTCGTCATCCGTGCTGAACAAAACAAACCAGTTTCTGCAACAAATACTGTTATAATCCGCTATATTTTAACCATCAAAACCTATTTGAATACACGGAGATTTGATATGGCATTATGCAAATTACTTATGACATCATGTTTGGATTTCACATACATAAAATAAATGACATGTATGCAACACATGTTTTAAAATATCTAAAAACAAATGCAAATTTACATGCTTTGTTTAGCTGAAATACAAGTACAAATATATTCACTATCATTTTATACGCATGTTCACAAATGTATTAGATTTATCTATGGGTTTATATTATGCTTTGATACTAATCAATTAAGATGTCTTTGTTTTAACATGCCTTCAATGTGTAAGGCAAAAAGTTACAATAGAGACACAGAGGACAATACAATACAATTTCTATTATGTGTTATGATCCCGATATATCATGGATTCTGTTGCTGTTTTTAACATGAATAATTGCAGTTTTATTAGTAAAACTTAAGCTACACAATTGTTAGTACAATTAGAAAGTTAATTGCAAACATGATCTAACTACTCATCTTCATTTATATTAGTAATAACTATATAGGCAACTGAATCAAGACTCTGTCATCAGAAATACTACTAGTAATTTAATAATAATTTGAAGAGCTCTCATTAGTTACAGTAAGATTTCATTGTAACAGTGCTGTACTTCTATTTGTTATTGTTACTAGAACTGAATTTGAGATCTCCCTACGAGGCATTGTAACTAGTTAGAAGTGTGATTCTTATTAATAAAAATTCATTTAGGACATCAAACACTGGGAACATGTTCAGGTAAATCGGCTTGCCATAAAGGCGCTCAAATGACGAAACGTGCACGCGCAGAGTAAACTCACCTGCGCGCTCTTGTGGAGGGAGGAAGACGAGCACAGATTCCGCACATAATCAAGATATTACTCAAGGCTTAAAATTAAAAACAGTAGAAGTTGTTTACACTTTTAAACAAACATATATTAGCTACAAATATTCTGTAGCTATTTTGTCAGATATCCTCTTCGAGAATATGATGTAGTTTTCGGATACATTAAGAGTATTTAATTAAAATATTATTACTAAGCTAATTAATAATTTAGCTCTCTAATTGTAGTTCTTGTAAAATGATAAAGCGCTCTGAATTATAGGAAGATTTCTTTTCAGAGCTCTATTTTTATTTGACAACTGAATTATAGACCTCTCTACTAGAGTAGTCGTAGTATTAAAAATGCATTTATGACATATACAATAATAATATAAATATAAATCTGGACTTAACTAGACGATGGTAAGCTGCTTTGACAATCTACATTGTAAAAGCGCAATAGAAGTAAACAGTAACTGAATTGAATAAAAGGGCTTGCCATAAACCCGCTTAAATGACGAAACGTGCATGCGAAGAGTAAACTCACCTACGCCCCTTTGTGGAGGAAAAAAGTGAGGTATTTTCACTGCATAGATATATACACTATCGCATAGGGACCCTGAGCATGCGTCAATAGCGCCGCCACATTGGTACAGTGCTCCCAGGACAAATGTCATTCAACCGCACTAGTCAAGACAGTGTTATTACGTGAAGATGCGGGACTTTAGCGCTGTCTACGGGTGTAGTAACGAGCAAACAAAGAAAATAAAGCACAAAGGCAGAACATTTCATAGGTAATATTAAGTTTTTTTCTGTTTTTGTATGTTATGAATTTTTGTATTAGCCTAATTACCTTGTGTCATTTACTGCATTCACCATAAGGCAAAGCAGCTCCAACTCGTCTCGCACTAAACACTCGGCTTATACTAGTTTTGTTAAATAAAATCAGCAAACAATGCAAACGAAATATGACAACGAGATGCTGCGCTGCCAGAAACTTGTATTATTGTCGGCTAACGTTAATGAAAGAGTCGTTCGGGGGATTCATTCACAAACGAATCGCTCCCTCTGTCAGTAGAAGTGAAAGCAGGAGAGGAGCTGTGTTTCAGGACATGATTAGATGAAATTTAACAGGGTTGATTCATTTTAAAGGAGCGCTACCCTGTACCAAGATGGCGGCGCTATTGACGCATTCCATCCAATAGACAACAATAGGCCAGGCGACATCTAATGTATATATCTATGTTTTCACTGAAGAAGAGAGACTGAAGATTGAGAAGATACTGTGAGAAAAACAGCTGGATTATGTTCACCAGAGATAAGCTTGAGGAAGAAAACACGACAATACAGAAACTCATGAATCTGAAGAACTGATGACACTCGCTCAGAAATATGTAAGTAAGTAAGGTTTATTTGTATAGCACCTGTCATTGAGTCACAAAGTGCTTTACAATAAGAAAAAACAAGTTAACGAACAGACGACAATAAAAGAAAGCATGTTAAAACAAAATAAAACTAATTAAAAATCAATATACAGAAACACTAATCCTGTTCATTAAAAGCTTAACCAAAAAGGTGTCTTTAAATGCTTTTTAAAAAGTTCAACTGATACCAGAGTTCTCAGTGCTATCGGGAGAGAGTTCCAGAGCCGTAGGGCCACCACACAGAAGGCACACGCACCTTTAGTCTTAAGACGAGTTCTGGGAATGGCTAAAAGACCTCAGAGACCGGCTACATGAGTAACTGCTTAAAAGATCTTGAATATACAGGGCTGCTTGAGCATGCAGAGCTCTAGAAGGGGTTTATCTTAAAACTTGTATTGATCAATTTGTCTGATTAACATTCAGCACTTAAATGTGTTCAAAATTATTCAAAAAGTCAAATGGTAAACGTAGTCGACAGATTAGACCGCATTTTCGAAAGTAAAACCGCCCATAATTACCTCATGTTCACTGATTATACCTTCAGCATTTATTATTCGACACTGTGTTTGCATTTATAACTTACTTAGCTCTACAAGTCTGTATATTACCTTTATTGATTTCACGTTCTAATAATTAATCTATTAACCTCTTAGTCCTGGATTTATTTATTTTTGTACTTGATGGTTTAAATGACTATTACTAAATGCATGCAATATGACATGCCTTTGTCAACCAAACAAATCTTTTTCTATTTTAATATCCTCCTGCTAGACTACTCTTTCAACAAGCACCATCCCTTTGCCTTTTAAAAGAGACAATATAATAATAAGACAATTATAATAATAATGCTAATATTTTGTGTGTGGGTCAAAACTATATGACACATGTTGAGAAATCAGCTGTAAAATAAAAATACTCCCTTTTTCAGTTTCCAATTCAGTATTTTTATTTTTTGTAATGAACTGACACTAAATTGAAAACTAAAAAGCCAATACAATACAACACAGAAAACAAGCTCTGTGTAGTATAATGAAAAGAGACAGTATGCTACACACACACAATTAGTTTATAATATACAGTGTAATGTGAAACTTTTGTTTCAGTGATGGCTGAGTCCCGTGCTGCCCACAGTTCAAGATGGAGCATGATCGAGCCTCCTGTTTGTAAGTCTTTCTATGGATAAAAGAGATGATAAAATAAATGTTTTGAAAATGTTATTTTCAAATTATGGGCAATTTTATGACAACTTTTGACATGGACATTTTAAGAGTCTGTGTATATATACAGTTGAAGTCAAAATTATTCACCCCCCTGTTTATTTTTTCCCCAATTACTGTTTAACTGAGAGGATTTTTTTAAAGCACATTTCTAATCATAATAGTGTTAATAACTCGTCTCTAATAACTGATTTATTTTCTCTTTGTCATGATGACAGTAAATAATATTAGACCAGATATTCTTTGAGACACTTCTATACAGCTTAAAGTGACATTTAAAGGTTTCAGAGCAGGCGCTGCGTGATGTGCCGAGGGAGTCAGATTTCAGTACAGCAAGGGCAGCAAAACAACACAATAAACCGACAAGAAACAGCTTTACAGTTTAAGATTAATCCGACTTCAGTAAGATTTGACTCATATGGTGACATTAGGCATTAGTACAAATATTTTGATCGAGTTGTATTCAAAACTACCACAAACTCTCTTCTTTATTGAATACAAGAATAATTACATATTTCTAATAGAGCTCTTCTGTTTGTTATCGTTACTAGTAAGATCTGAATTAGAAATCTCTCTAATAGACCTTGTTACTAGTCAGAATGTTACTATTTAGTGATAAAAATGCATTGAGGACATCAAACACTGAACATGTTAAGGTGAAACGGCTTGCCATAAAAGCGCTCGAAACGTGCACGCGCAGAATAAACTCACCTGCTAGCCCTTGTGGAGGGAGGAGGACGAGCACAGATTCTGCACTTTATCAAGGTATTAGGTGAGAAAGGGGTAATGTAAGACACCCCAGGCAACGGATTTTATATATCATCACTCTATAACAATTTTGTTTTCAAGCTCCTTCCATTTCCCCTCCAGCACTTCCTGGTGCTGTGGAAAGCATGCTTTTTTTTCACAAAAAAAAAATGTTTTTTTGCATGCAAAAGTAAAAAAAAAAAAAAAAAAAAAAAAATCAGCCAACTTAATCAACTCTTGTGCCAAATCAAATTCATTCATGTAGAGAAACTTATACATGTTGATGAACTAGCTAGCTGAAGATTGGCTAACTTTATGACTAATTTACTACGGCGAAGGCTTAAACGGAGCAGTGCTCATAATATAGAGCAGGAAAAAAGACCGCTGTGAAATATAAATAGTTATTGCTGTCGATCTATCACTGAATATGTCAGGAATATCAAAACAAAACCAACTTATCTTCGCTCCTTTAGCGCCCATTTCTCCTCTTGGGTTTTAGGTTTTGAAAAGGGGAAAAATTCCACCAAACATTAAGGATAGCGGGTATCAGACTTGCACAATCCATTTGCTGAACGCTTTGACCTGTTTCCCCTCGCTCGAAAGCTTGACAGAGTCCCTGCGCGTAGCTACGGTTGCTAAGCCACGATTGGTGGGTGGCGGTTTTGGGGTGTGGCTTAGCGAAGGGTCAATTTCGGAAGCCAGTTCAATCTGTTCACACTCACAATAGGTGGCGATATGCACCATTAAAGTTGGTTCGCAACTAACCTTAAAACCATGAGGTAGAAGAAGTAGCCTAAATCTCGTGGTCAGTGTTAGTGGCTGCGCTACTTTTGTGCTTTGTTGGTCTTTAGGCACGCTTTGCTTTCATCGCATCACAGACTGGTGAACATGACGATGAGTTCACTGTACTCAAATGGCCTCCACAGTCACCAGAACTCAATCCAATAGAGCAGCTTTGGGATGTGGTGGAACGGGAGATTGGCATCATGGATGTGCAGCCGACAAATCTGCAGCAACTGTGTGATGCTATCATGTTAATATGGAGCAAAATCTCTGAGGAATATGTGAGTGTTTATAAATGTATTACCCCTAATTTGTAAGTATATATACATAAGATAGAAAAATGCAGTTGTTTATCTAAAAAGCCTTTCTTTTCATTTTTTGTACATTTTTTACTGTGGTTTTTTTCATGTCCACAATACCCCAGCATGTAAGAATATATGTACTCTTGTTTGCACACTCCATGTACACAAATGAAGTTAAAAAAAAAAATTCAATTACACTAAAAATTCAATGAAATGTAAACACACAACAGAACACTGTTAATTTATTCTATGGTAAACTCTGACTGCATGTCTATAATCTCAGTAACTGGACTCAGACAGCTGTGTTCAAACATCTGCGGTTTAATCTCACTCATCTACACATCTGATTGAGGAGAGAAATCATCTCATTTACTCAGAGAAACACAGAAATGAACACTCTGACAGAACAGCAGGAAAACAAAACCACTCACCAAACTACTGTATCGAGTATATTTACCACGGTAAAGTGAACCGTGTGACAATAGCAGATGTTTAAGGCATTTCAGTCATGATCCAGACGCTCCTGTAGTTTATTATGCAGCAGTTTCAGTAATGCGAGTACAGCAAATCTTCATGTTACCCTGAAAAACACATGTAGAAAGTGCCGAGGAGAGGGCGTTTGGGTAAACGCTATATATGGCACACTATTACCCTTCATAATCCTCCTCATAATCCATGTCTCAGTGTTTTATGAGTGATTGACAAAGCAGATCCTTCAGTTCCAGATACACCAGTGATTCTCAAACTCCTAAATCACAGGTGTTAAACTCAGTTCCAAAAGGGCCGCAGCTCTGCACAGTTTAGTTTCAACCCTAATTAAACACACCTGATCAAACTAATTGAGTCCTTCAGACTTGTTTGAAACCTACAGCTAAGTGTGTTGGAGTAGGGTTGAAACTAAACTGTGCGGGCTTCGGCCCTCCAGGAATTGAGTTTGACACCCCTGTCTAAACTGATCATGACACTGAGCCGCTTTCTCCTTAAAGTCTGTGATGAGCTCAAGCTCATTTTTACTCTTTTTTTTTTTTTTTTGGTCAGAAATGCTTTGTTTTGAGCAATTAAATCAAATCAAAAACAATTAAAAAGCAATTAAATCATTTAGACAGAGCAATTTAAGATTATCCATTCTTCAAACTAGGCCTGCACGATATTGGAAACAAACTGACATTGCAGTATTTTGTTTTTGTGCAATTAAATGTTGGCATATGAATAGAATTTTCAAAAGATAACTCTATTTGGAAAGAATTCACAAACTTTACATTGCTTGAGGTTATTTTTTAGAGTACATCTGCATAAAATAAACAATAATATATATAAATATAATGGCTATCAGCCAATCAGATTCAAGAACCAGACAGAACTGTTGTATATATATATATATATATATATATATATATATATATATATATATATATATATATATATATGTATAATATCAGCACCCGTACAGCCTCTTTACCCTTTGTGTATTACTCCGCCCACATACAGCCAGCAGAAAGCAGACACCACAGATCTGAAGTTTAAAAGAGTTTAAAAGTAGTTCCTCATACAAAAGGGTTTTTGAGACTCTCCATGTTTGATTTTGTTTTCATATACACAATTATGCCGTCAAACTGTTGTATAAACGCAATATCACACTCGTAGCAGTGCGGTAAGGCTGTATATCGGCACTGGTGGGGACTGGAGTGCCAATATACAGCCATATCGCACTGCTACTCGAGTGATATTGCTCATATATATATATATATATATATATATATATATATATATATATATATATATATATATATATATATATATATATATAAATTAAAGCACAGGTGAACAGATAAGCTGTTGTACAAATGAACTTGAATTGAATTAAATAAAAATGAAATTGTGCTTTATGGTTTTCGCTGGAGTCTAAAAGTATTGAGGTTCAGATATTTAATAATCTAATGTAAATACCCAGTATATTCCTCACTGTATAAATTATTTAACTGTGTTAAAGAAGCACCCGTCATCATTTCTTGTGTCGTAACGGTTTAACTTGAAATCTCTTGACGTCCTGCGATGTGACAACTGCAGATTCACACACTGAGCGATATCAATGCTAAAACGATATATTATGCAGCTCTACTTTATTCCTATAATTACATATATATATATATATATATATATATATATATATATATATATATATATATATATATATATATATATATATATATATATAATACATTGTTTTGTTTTATAATAATAATAATATTATATTAATATTAATAATATAATATTAAAATATATTTTATATATATATATATATATATATATATATATATATATATATATGCATTATTAAAGGAATATGTTGATGTTTCAGTAATGGCTGTTGCAAAAATATGACTCAAGTAAACAGAAGAAATAAGTTAAAGTGAGACGAATGATGTGGAAAGATGTGGTAATGGGGTGGGGAAAACAATGATAAGCTTGTGCTTCATCCTGCTCCATTTCCATCATGATGAAATGTATTTAGTTTAAAGAATTGTTTTAAGTGTAGGATTTTTTTTTTTCTTTTTGGTTCAAAATGAAATCATCTGAAAATTGAGACATGTATTAGTTTCCAAATCCCATAGCCAGAAATGACCCATAAAGTGTGAGGCGTTCTCGCACTGAATGAATTTCTATTGATGGACTAAGGATACAGGAGTGACTGCATTCAGACAAGCACAATTATAGTAAACCTACACCTGAAGAAGAAAACACAGATAAATGAAGGTGTTGAAGAGTCCAGCCAAAGTCCAGAGCTCATCCTGACTCAGATGCTGTTTAGACTAGTTTATTACACTAGTTTAGACTCGTCATAGCATCTCTAAACTGCTAATATCACATCTTCATTCATTCTCCTTCAGCTTATTCCCTTATTTATCAGGGGTGACCACAGTGGAATGAACAGCCGACTACTCCAGCATATGTTTTACACAGCGGATGCCCCTCCGGCTGCAACCCAATACTGGCAAACACCCATACACACTCACACACTATGGCCAATTTATTTAATCAATTCCCCTATAGCGCATGTGTTTGGACTGTGGGGGAAACCGGAGCGCCCGGAGGAAACCCATGCCAACATAGGGAGAACATGCAAACTCCACACAGAAATGCCAACTGACCCAGATGAGACTTGAACCAGGGAGCTTCTTGCTGTGAGGCCTCAGTGCTAACCACTAAATAAGTCAGTGTAAAATGAATTGATGACAGGGATTATTTGAATTATTGACTGATTAGTAAATAGTGCACACATGAACACCTCAGATGGAGACTACAATAGTTCTGCTCTCCACACCTAAAGATATTTGGGAGTTTATTTGTCCTCGAGCGTCTCCCGTGTGCAGCACTAGTGTCCTCCACATCTCCTGTTGTGTTCTGCTGTGATGTCTGACTGCTGTAGCTGTGGAATAACTCTAATCATTCAGCGGAGGGATATAGAGCTGTAATGCGCTCTAAACCTGCCGGAACTACTTTAGCTGAGCATTTATCTGACAGTAACCAAACACCTCAGAGTGATCATCAGATACGATACTATTCATGAAAGGATGCTGTCCAGAACATTCTGCAAATGAATTAAGCGCTCAGATCCTAATGTTGATAATACTTTCTGTTCGAAATGTTTGAGAATCACTGGGGTAAAGTTTGTGAATGTGTATGATGTGTATGTAAGCTCATCATCAGAGCTGAGCAGGAGTGGTTTCTTGTTACTGCAGCTGTTGGATCTGATCCACTATCAGAGTGTGTGTGTGTGTGTGTGGGTGGGTGTGTGTGTGAGTTTGTATGTGTGAGTGTGAGTGAGTTCTTGTGTGTGTGCATGTATATGTGTGTGTACATGTGTCTATGCTTGTGTGTGTGAGAGTGTGTGCTTGTGTGTGTCAGAACTTGTCATAAGAGCTGAGCAGAAGTGCTTAGTTCTTGGATCTGCTCTGCTGTGAGTGTGTGTATGTTTGTGTGTGCGCATATATGTGTGTCTGCGTCTATGCTTGTAGTGTTTTCTCTTTGCTGCAGCTGTTGGATCTGCTCTGCTCTGAGTGTGTGTGTGTGTGTGTGTGTGTGTGTGTGTGTGCTGGTCAGAACTCATCATCAGAGCTGAGCAGCAGTGTTTTCTCGTTGCTGCAGCTGTCGGATCTGCTGATTGGCTCTGCTCGGCTCTGCTGTGTGTACTGCTGATAGGCTGGGGAGAAGTTGTGAATGGCATCCTGCAGAATGTCTCCCGGGTTCATCGTCTCCTTCAGACTGCTGGAGATACTCATGGGGGCGCTGCGGCCTGACACACACACACACAAACACAGAAGCAATGTCACCATCGCTGTAATGAGCACATACTGTTACTATCACTGTGGACACACACACATTGTCTTGTATTATATGTGTATAATGCTGTATATCATGATATGAGCTGCAGTCATTCTCCCAGCATGTCATTTTGATCATCATATATGTTGTGAATATCATTTGAATAATCTGAAATATGTTTCAACACTATTAATAACCTTTTAAAGCAACACAAACATGTTATGTGTGTTAAAAGCCTGTTCATAGGAGGAACTATGAAAGAATCCAGAGCAAACTCACCGAACTGACCATAGACAGGAACACAATCTGAAGGAGACACAGAGGAGCACACAATAAAACACACAGAACAACCAACATAGAAGAAACACTTCAGTCTGACACATCAACCAGGGTTTGAAATTGCGACTGTTTTGGTTGCATATGCGCCCAAAATTTCATCAATGCCACCTCAAAATCTATTTGGGAGCATTTGTGTTGCCGTGCGACCTGTTTTCACTGCATAATAGAGACAATTACGCGGAACACAGGCAGGGTTTTTTTCATAAGTTGTTTACATTTTAAAATGTTATACACACACTGTTTGCTATGCAATGCAAAAACTTTGAAGCTCAACATCTTAAAGTCATTCAGAGCGCAGATATAACCTTATAATTCCAAGATGACGAGTTTTAGCCTACTCATTTCACCTGTACCGCATGTCTTTGGACCCACGCCAAAGCAGGGAGAACATGCAAACTCCACACAGAAATGTCAACTGACCCAGCCGAGACTCGAACCAGTGACCTTCTTGCTGTGAGGCGACAGCACTACCTACTGCATCACCACATCGCCTGATTTGTTGAAAATATGTTTAATGAAATAGTTTGGCCTGAAGCACTGTTCATTTCTTTATTTCCTGAAATAAACTGAATTTGATTTTTACATGGCTTTATACGTGCACCTTTCAACGTGTAACATTTTTTTTCCTCTACATTTCTCACCTTAAGGTGATGCTCATGTGACTTTGTCTTTGAACAAATAAAAACACAACATACTTGTTACGCAACATTCTCAAAAAGGATGTTAAAGTTTTATAAACTTTTCATTACAATAAAATGGAGGGTGGCCTGTGTAATTTAATGAACGAACAAATTTTCCTATTATTTATTTTTTCTTTTCTTATCTATTTCTTATCTTATATTTCTTTCTTTCATTGATGCAGATGTGTAATCTGTGAATGGACCCGTATTAACCCGCGGTTATCTTCGGGGCCCGGTTTTTCAAAAGTAATCCACTAGGATTTTGGATAATGGATTGAATCAAATCTTGAAAATGGGTTTTCCAAAAGGAAAAACGGATTACATAATCAGATTAGATCAAGTAATCCAATCTTGGTTTTAATCCGGATCAAACCTTTAGTTTGGGTTTTTCAGACCTTTTTTTGTAGGATCTGGATCACTTTGATCCAAAAAATCTGGATTAAACTGATCCCATCAGAAGGGTGGATTCAGCGTGGATTTCATGCCCAAAATGTAATGAAAACGTAAAAAATGTATAAAATAATACTATATTTGCATCATTCAGTATCTTACAAAATATCTTATATATTCATAAGGTTTCAATTGTATATGTTCATCTGTCAGGCTACAGTGATTAGGTAGGCTTTAATGTTTTCAGTCTTTTTTCAGTTTTTTTAGTATAGGCCTACAGCAAAGTAGAAAGAGTTTGGCCTCATAAAATAATCCCCCAAACAGCTGTCAAAACTGACCAAAAACAATACATTTTATTCTGTCACTAATTGATACATATATTCATCACAATGGAAAATATTGTTCTTATTAGAATATTTATTAGTGATGCATGCAATGATTACAGAATAACCACTAAAAATGCAAAAAATGGCAATCACTGATTTCTGAAATGTCTTTCAACAATTGCAAAAAGAGACTGAAAGGGCAGAAGCACAGCTTCATCTGGCAGAAGAACAACAGACTCTGACCAAACTGCAGCAAACTAAGGCCAGACTTGAGATCCGCCTCCTAAAGGCTACGCTCAGACAAGCTGCTCTGAAAGTCTGAAATTATTGTGGAGTTTTTGACATCAAGTCTTTTTTTATTCCATACATCTTTATTTGAAACTTGTTATAAATATCCTCAATGTACAGTGTTTGTGTTGTTGGTCTCAGATGAGCAGACTGCTGGAAGAGGATGGGCTGGGGTTTTTCTTGCTTTTAGTTTTTTTTTTTTAATTTGTGTGTTTTCATTTTAAATAAAAATAAAGTTATATTTTTCCCCACGCTGGCTATTCTACTTGTTGCTCTGTACATATCTATAGTTCTACATTGTGATTTTCTATCCTGTTTGAGCACTGGTTATCTAGATTTAGTGATAGTGAAAAGTTCCTATCCGGATCAGATTGATCCAATCCAATGTTGCTTTGAAAAACTGGATTAAAAAGTAAGCTGGATTACGTGATCACGGATCGCAAAAACAGGATTACTAAATCCGGATCAATTTTATACGGATTAAACCTTTTGAAAACCCGGGTTTTGGAACTGACACACTGGCGGTAAACATGTTTTGGGTTAATCAACCGAGAGTTCAGGGTTTAGCAGGTGGTAAATTAACCCAGCTTTCTGGAATACCCCCCGGGACAGTTGTGTTCTGTTTGTTTTGGTTTAGATGCAGGCTCCATGAGGAGCTGTCGTCCATTTGTATTATTTTTGAATTATTAAACATGATTTAAAACTTTGTCGGTTCTCTGCCTCC